AGGGGCTCATACAACTCTTATCACAATCCATACATACATCAATGTGCAAAGCACATTTGTACATTCATTGCCCTCATCATTCTCAAAACACTTGCTTTCCACTTAAGCCCCCGGCATTAGTCTCTCATTTTTACCTACCTCCCCGCTCCGCCTTCCCTCATGAACCCTTGATAATATATAAATTATTTTTAAACTGTTACTTTGTAGCTTGTGTAGATTGTACTATGTTGGGTTAAGAGTAATGATTTCTTGTATTCAGAAATCCTCTGGTGCAAAAACAGCATAGAAGTAATAAGTCTCTCCTCACTGCATTCTGTTACAAATCATAACCATTCCATAGGTCCCACCTACAAAATGCACCACTTCACTGAAAACTGACTTTATCTCAATGGGAAACTATCACTAGCTTGGTGAGTTATCATGTTTTCCTTCATCATCTCCTCTACCTCACTTCACTTTCACTCACGCTCTTTCTGTACCTCCCAATAAAGCCTCAGGAAAAAGATCTCCTGAAAACTCAAGCCAGGACTTATTTGAGTTGCTCTTTGCTCTTAATTTATAAGCTTGGGGAACAAATCAGGAAAGAATTTTTTGTTTGGAGCTAACTAGTGAATGTCACTCAATGTATACAGAAAATGACATTTCTAAACCTGACTGAAAACTTCTAATGAAAGCTGTCTTCAAAATATCTGTGCTACTGATAACTTTATTCATAACAGTCAAATCATGAAAAAATCATGAGAGAAAATCCCCAATGGATTAAGTGTAGGGTTAATAACTGGGCTCCCCTTGTATTAGGAATGAGCACTATTCACAACCAGATTTACTAGGTTAAAATATTATCAACTTAAAATTTAATTATTCATGACAACTATCTCCCTGCTTCCAAAATCAGTTCAGACCACAGGTGTTTGTCCATCATTTTAAGTTGTGAGCCACATAAATGGCCCATGTTAACTTCCATCCCTGAGAGAATCTCCACATTCTCTCTGAATGTTCTTGGTGAAGCAAACTACGCCCAGAGGTTTAGTCTCCTTTTAGTACCAGCTAAAAACCAGCCACTCAAGAAAACCTTTTGGGTCTTTTCCCCATTCATTCTCCACTGCCCGCAGAGAGTACACTTGACCGTCTAAGGATAGACCTACTCATGTTGTAACAGTAGCTTGGGAGATTATCTTCCCAACGCAATAGCTGGAGAGTGAATTCATTGTCTCAAGCCCAATATCACGTTAATAACATCCACCCAATAAAACTAAATGAACAACCCAACAAGGAAGACTTATTTTTAAGTTTTATTTCTGATAATAAATGAAAACATGTTTCTGTTTAAACAAAGCAAAACAAAAACAAAGTGAAGAGTATATCGATGTGTATTAAGCCTCCAGCGAATACCCTCTGACCATAGACCAGGGGTGTGAATAGTTTTGCAATAATGCAGAGTGTACTAGAAAGTGTATTATTGCAGATGCTGTTAGGTTAAAATCGAATACCTTCTCATTTGATCTCCATTTTGACACATTTTAAATTTGTTCTAGGTCTTAATATATTCTGCTTTATTGAAGTTTTTCTGTTTTACTTTGTTGTTGTTGTTGTTGTTAGTGTTTTCACTGTTTTTGTACGTTTTCTGTATATGAAATCTAGAATGAGTCCATCTATAGACTGAGTGACTGGTTTGGTGGTTTCCTGGGGGTTTGCCTGAAGAATTTGGAGAAATGGGGAACAAATCACCATGAGCACTGGAAAGAGGAGAATGTTTTTAAATTGATGTGGTTATGATTGCACAGCTCTTCTTAGTATGATTGAACTAGTGAATTGTATGGTAACTTTTTATTAAATAAATGAAACTATGAACAGAGTTACAGTATCTCCTAGGGCTGGTTCGTTGAAAGGAACAATTTTAAAAGGTGTACTTTGGGAAGAACTTAAGACCTCAAGCACCAAACTAGGTAAATTTTTAGTTTCTAGAAATTATAACTTCACTATATGATATAGGATTACATAAATCACCCTCTAGAAATAAGAAACTAAACTAAAAAGAAAATTATTGATTCAGGTCAATTCTTGAGTAAATAAGGTTGGTTTTCTAAGCATACCTGGATATAAAAATGAAAACTGTAGGGTCTTGATCAAAGGAAGAAAATGTTGAACAGAATTTAAACTTATCATAACTTTAGACTTTCTGAAGCATGCAGGCTGGTTGAACCCTTGGAATTATTTTTGCCTTCAGATAATCTTTAAGTCTTAAAGCAAAATTATTGACTGAAGCCTTCCTAAAGCCTATTAGTAAAAAATGTCTTCCTTGACCATTTTTCTCTTTAGGAACTATCTATATGGGGTCAAATTGAGAACACAAACTAGAAAAAAATTAAATGAAAACATGAAGGGCAATGAGTTTATGTTAATGGGGGAAGAACAACTCAAAAAAGGATGTTAAAATAATTGCATAGCTACAAGAATTATATATGTAGAAACTATTACATTGGTATATGGTTTGCAGTGTATAATCTCAACAACAGCAGCAACAAAATAAATGAAAAATTTTTAAAAGAATGAAAACTCCAAGTGTATCTCCTGCCTTAGCTCAGACTGTCTAATCCTGTTGGCCACTCAAAGCAATCAAGTTCCTAAAGACGGATCCGTCCCAAGTTCTTATACTTTGATTGGTCTTTGGGAACAGTCTCACCCGATATTTTTCAGTTTATTGTCAATAAAGGATGGCTTCTGATGCTGTTTCAGAACATCATCACAGTCTACATGGAAGTTCTATTAACTGAACTCAGAACATGGACACATGCAGGTCTACCAGGAGTGGAGCCCAGCAGGTTTCAGGAGCTGAGATAACTCTCAAATTGGTCCAGGCAAAGTTGATGGTGTGGTTTCCACTTGGGAAACCACAAGGACTCTCCTTAATTTACTCTCAAAATTGTACCAGTTAACTTCATTTCGGAGTTGATAACACTATCCTTGTGTCTTTTCCCACAGATGCAGTCAACATCCTTACCTCCTAGGCAGGCTCCAAGGGCAAGTGCATACATGAGAGGCTGCACGGGAAGGCTGACCTCGGGGTCTTGGCTCAAGTTCAGAAGCACTGGAATCTGTGGAGGAAAATATATCGCATTGGATTTCATGGGATCATTCTTTAAAACTTTCCAATTTCCTTAAAGGAGCATGCCCTATCTGTCATCTTAATATTCATCTTCTGGATTCTTATTTTGTGGTTTTTGATTTAAGTTTTCAAGTTTTCTATTTTTTAAGCTCTCTTTCCCCATCCATTGGAAGTAATTAGATATCAATCATAGCCCACATTGGAATTCATGAAACCCAAAGCAATCTGCCAGCAGTCACTGTAAAAAGCATAGAAATATAGATGGGAACCAACTCTCAGGTTCACTGACACTCGAGTCTCATCCAGGTGCCCAGCCTTTGACTCCAGTATATGTTTCTCAGGCCCCCATTCCCTCACCTGATGGCATCACTGTGACTTTTCCTTCAGGGAAGGAATGTAGCAACATAAAAACATGTATGTAACCACACATTGTGCCTATTCTTATTCTAAAACTTGACATGCAGTGACTTGACCAGTTCCTAAACATCCTTGAGGTTTGCCTATTATACCTTTGATTGACAAATGAGGATAGCAAGATACAGAGAGGCACAGACCAGCCAAAACTTGAACACAGTCCCTTAATTCCAAATCATACCACGGAAAACCTATGCTAAGCTTATTTTTACCACAGATCTATGCCCAATTTTCTGAACCCCTGGTACAATGACATCCTAACAGACCTCTCATTCAAAAACCAGAAGCACCATTTCTTAGTTTATCATTTCAGTATTTGGGACACCATTTTGAGGATATACATATATAATTGTATTTGGGGGCTTTTACAGCTCTTATAACAATCCATACATCAATTGTATCAAGCACATTTGTACATATATTGCCATCATCATTTTCAAAACATTTTCTTTCTGCTTGAATCCTTGGTATGAGCGCCTCTTTTTCCATCCCTCTCCCACCCTCCCACCCTCGTGAACCATTGATAAATTATAAACTATTATTATTATTTTCATATCTTACACCATTCCCTGTCTCCCTTCACCACGTTTATGTTATTTGATCATTGCGATTGGTCCCCCTTTCCATTTTGAGGAAGTTTTATTCCACACTACTGCAAGAAGTAAACCACATGGTGGCTGTAAAGATTCCATAGGAAATGTATATTTGGTTGATGTTCCGCATGAAGAACAGACACAAGTCTGGCCATGGCCTTGGCCATGCCATTGGTAAAATAACTAGCACTACTTATTTATTGCTACTATAACATAAATACCATAAATGTATGGCTTTCACAAAATAGAAAGCTAGAATATAGAAATTAGGGCGCTGTCTCGAGGGAAAAGTTTTCTTTCCCTGTTGGCTCTGAAGGAAGGTTCTTGTCTGTCTTTGAGCCTCTGCTACTGGGTGATCCTCATCATTGACCCATGTCAGGTTAAGATAGGCAGGGCAGTTGCTTATGTCCGCCCCATAAAGAGTAAGAGGACGAGGATTTCAATAGGACACCAAGTAAAGACAACAAAATAATGAAGAAAAGCTGAGGCTAGGCCAACCAGCATGCTAGCCTCACACCCCATATCATGTCACGGTCCACTCCCCCCACCCCCCCACATCAACCCAGCCCACAAGCCACCACCGTCACATGCACCTTTCCTGCCTGCCCCTAATCCACACATTTTGCTGCCCCATGTTTACCCCAGCACTCACTCTTCCCACTGTGGCTCACCTGAGACTTCACCTCTATCAGACACAGTGCTCCCAGGCTAGGGCAAGGTACAAACCCAGGAGCACTTTTAAAAAATACAGTATCATTATTTTGGTGAATTTTTTATTGGTGCCCTTTAACCTATTTTATTCTTTCCCCACTTTCTTCTTCTTTCCCTTGTCTTCCTCTTTTTTGAATGATAGTGTCTATTATTCCTTTCCTGAACCACTTCCTTGGGTCAACTATGCTCATACAGCCCAGACCCTTTCCCACCTTTAACAGCGTCCCACCCCTAAGAGCTCCCACGAGATGCAATGCAATCTTTTTTCTCCTCCACAGATTCCAGTGCTTCTGAAGTTGAGCCTGACCCAGAGGTCAGCCTTTCTCAGCAGCCTCTCATGATGTTGTGGAGCCAGAAATCACTAACAGTCCACAGGAAAGATCACACAAACAAAAACAGACAAAAACAAAGGAACAATGGCCAAATTAAATTTTTTTCTGATGAATAAAACACTGGTATTACAGAAAACTAATTCAGAATAATGATGTCCAGGTAATTCTAATAGATGGAGAAAGAGTTCAGGAAAGCAACAGAAACAAAATTAAAAACTAGAAAACTTACAACAATAACAAAATATATATCTAGGAGATACTAAGGTAACAGAATTGGACAATACTTTTAAAAGAGCAGAGTAATAGAATCAAAGAATGGAAGTATGAATTAGTGAACTTGAAGGCAAATCTCCTAACTACTACCAAAGAGAGGAATAATCAACCAAAAAGTCAGAGGAGTCTACAGAAAAAATAATAATTAATGTAGGACATAATCAAGAGAACCAAATTATATCGCATGGGATTCCAGCAAAAGAAGAAAAAAAATTTCACAGTGAAAACAGTATGAGAAATTCTGGGGTGGAAATTCCCTAACAGCAGAAAATAGGAGAAACTACTTAATCAAGAAGCTGAGAGAATGGCAGACATAACATAAGAAAAATATTACAACATATAATAGTCAAACTCTCCAATATCAAGATCAAGGAGAGAATCCTGGAAGTAGTTGGGGGAAAAGAACACTCAATACAAAGAAAAAACACGAACTATATGGGTGGCTTTTTCAACAGAAAGTGGGCGTGCAAGAAGACAATATAATGACACATCTAAAACTTGAAAGAAAGACAAAAAAGAGAAAACCTCTGACCAAAAAGTTTATCTATAGCAAAATTAGCCATCAAATATGCAAGAGTAATGAAGTTCTTTACTCTGACAAGGAGAAATTAAAGGAATTTGTTGAAACAAGATCAGTATTTAAAAAAATACTAAGAGGAACATTATGTACAGAGAATTAACAACCATGGACAAATATGAGATCAACAAATAAGAAGACACCATCCAGAAAGCAGCGCACTTAAGACAGTATTCAAAATAAAATAAAGTGACAAGACCAAATTTGGAACAAGCGATATCATTCCACAATGAACACAAATACTAAAATAAGAGGGAAATTTGTTGGAAAAAAATAGTGGAATGGAGATAAAGACAAATAGTTCACAAGAGAAAACAGACTATTTTAAATATGGAAAGAAAATAACAAACAACAGGGTAACCATGAAGAAAATTGTGGGACGGAAGGATTAACTCACTAAAATAGAAAAAAAAAACAGTAGTAAAAAACAAAATATCAGCGAAGGAAAATGTAACTCCAAAAAAATCGATAAACAAAAGAAACGCAATACAGAAATACAGGAAAGACAATAAAATCAATAACCCCACAAAACATACATATAGAAAAATGACAGCAACAAATGAACGCATATCAATAACAACATTAACTATTAATTGATTAAATGCACCAGCAAAAAGAGATGGAATAGAAGACCAGATGAGAAAAAAAGGACCCATCAATATGCTGCTTACAGAAAACATACCTCATATAAAAAGACAAACATAAACTAAAAAGCAAAGGGTGTTCTAGCCAACCCTCAGTGAACCATGCCATGGACTGAGCACTATGATGGCCTTAGACACTGGCCTTCTGGGAACAGGGCCTCCCCCAAGGGTCACACCAGACGGACTCAGCATGGAAGCCCAACTGAATGAACTGGGCCCTATCTGTAGCCTTGGACTTAGGACTGAAATATCCTGATGGGAGAAGAAGCAAGGAATGGCCATCCCAAGATTGTGGAAATTGTGATCATTGGACCTTGGGTGGCAGCGCTGGCTTACTGGGTGCCCAATGAAAGAGGACCCAGAACCACCATATATTTAACACCTCAATTCTCCAATTGTATTAAGATAACAGGTATTACCTGATAGGCAGGCATCTGCCCTTGTACAGGGAATTTCCCCTAGTACCAATTCTTATGCCCAATGTAAACAGAGCTCAATCAATTAAGAACCAATCTGTGCAAAGCAACAACTCATGGACTACAGCATGGACTATATCCACATAAACTCTGCATATAAACAATATCTTAAATTCTATGCCATTAGTTAAATTATTGATGTTATCGATGAAATCACCTTATATCCTAGGGGGATGGCTAACAATGTTTTTCATTTTTGTTTTGTTGTTGCTGCTGGTGTTTGTTTTTGTTGTTTTGTTTTATTGTTTATTTGTTGGCTTTTGTTTCTATTTTTGTTTTTCTCATAATATGACTGCAAAGTAAACCAGAGTCATTCACAACCCATGGGCAAGCAGATGGATCCTGGGCTTCAATTTAATTCTAGCCCCAATCCAAGAACC